TCCTTTTTGTTCTCTGCTTGTACAGCACCTGGCGCAGCATTTTCAAATGCGGCCACTGTGGCTGCGTGCGGCCACCAGGGAAAGTAGCGCCCCCTCCCTCTCCTTGTTGCTCCTGGATGCACCACCTCCGTGTGGGTTGCTGTGGCCATGAGCAGGGGTTGGGCCCTGGAGTCAGCTGGGGCACAACGCTGTAGGAGCAGGCAGTGGGCGAGTTCCCCACCTTCCCAGTGGTGGTGGGGCTCAGGCTTTGGGCTTCAGCGCTGGGGTGGTGGAGCAGGAGGCTCTGGCCGTGGGGCTTTGAGCTCTGGCTGTGCGGCAGCAGGCCCTAGGCTCCAGCCACACGGCTTTGGGCTCTGTCCCTGGGCCCTGTTCTCCGGCCACAGGGCTTCAGGCTCCAGTCCCCCACTGCCTCCCCCAGCCACCCACCTCCATCTCCTGGCCTCCACTGCCTCCCCCGACCCTTCCTTCAGGGTTGAATTTGTTCCCAGGCTTGCTAGGGGTGAGTAAGTCTGCTGTGAAACGTGATATTGGCATGTTTGTTAATATCATGTTTCCCAACAGACTTGCTAGCCAGCAATAAATAAATGACAATGATTTGGACGTGTCTGTGTGCATGTTTATTTGGTTTTCCTAAAGCTAATTAAATATTTTAGGGAAAAGGGCGAGTTGGTGGCCGCACTCTGAGGCCACCAAAAAAATTGTCCTGAGACCCTCTAGGATAATGGGGACTTTGTCCATGAGTGAGACTCCAAGGGGGTCTGGTAATCCAAATAATATCTCTCCCCTCTAACCTCAATCCCCGTCTCGACCCTTTGGACCCCCTGAAACAGACAGACAAAGTGGCAGCTCGTCTGAGTCACTGCGGGAGAAATCACCACTTGCCATGCTCAGAAGTTTGTAGCTATTTATTGCACTTGAAACACCAAGAATAAAACTGACAATTCCCCTCCCCCACACCCCAAGTCCCCCAAAAATATAGCATAAAATTTGAGCAGTGATCATTCTGTTCACAGCCACAGGTTCCAAAAAACGGTAACAAAGAATCCAACACGGACACGCCGCTTTACAGATCGGATTCACTTACAAAAGATACCACAAGGCTTAGAGTCCAACCACACTGAGTTACAATCAGGAGAGGACACACCGCAGCCTCTCGCTGGGGGTTTCATTTCGTACATTAAAAAGCTCCTTATTTATTTTTTTTATTCTTTTGTTTTTTTGCAGTCGTGTGAAATAAATATTTCCATAGAGATTTCATGTATGTATAGATCTATATATATATCTATGTATATCTCATTATATTTTTTAAACCACTGTTAACATTGTCCCTGCTTGTTCCAAAAATGTTACAAAAGCCCTAAAATTGTGCAACAGTTAGAAAAAAGTAACAACAATCCAAAAAGAAACAAGTCAATAAACAACACCCCGCTTCCCTGGAACCCCCGCCCTCCCTCACTGGTGTCACGGTTACAAAAAGGGTGGATGGTTCACAGCCGTGCGAGAATTGAGGAGAAGGAAGGCAGCTCGGCCGAGGGAGGGGAGCCAGGTGGGTCTACAGGGAAGGGCTGTGGCCACCTGGGTCCCCTACGGCACTGAATGGGAGTGGGGACAGACAGCAGGTCCTTCGTTCCAGGCTCCATCCATGGCAAGGAAGGTGGTTTTGTTACACTTTATATTAAGGTTCCCTGTATCAATAGACTATGAAGTGTTAAAAGATGTTTTAATACATGGTTCATCAATTGTAGAATCCAACCGGTAGCTTTTAAGCATCTATAACCTCTTCTGAGGAAGTGCCTACAACCTTCTGTGGCATCTATTGCTCGCGTCTGTGATGCGTATGCTGGCTGCGGTCATTTGCTAACCCTCTATAAACAGTGTGTAAATACATGACCACGTATTCTTTGCACTTCACCACTGCTGTTGTGTCTGTGAAGGGTTAATTGGGGCTCACACCAAGCGTGCTTACCTTCTGGGGATCCTGGCAAATCTCTCCCCCCGATCCCCAGCCCGGCAATCTGGGGGTGGATCCAAAGCTACTGGAATGTAGGCATATACCTCCAAAGAACTTCCTGAAAACCCAGCTTAGCGTGCCCAAGGGAATATGACCCCAACATGGCCATAAACACCAACAGATGTGTTTCTCTGGGCTAGAAACAAGGGTTAATCATGCTCCTGGGATGTCCGCAGGAGTGAACGGCATGGTCTTCTGCATCTCTGCTGTCCTCAGGGGAAAGCTACTCCTGGGGCACATGACTACATCAGGATTGTCTTAAAGACACAATATCCCCATCCTCCACAGACACTGTGGTCATGGTGCCCCACTGCAAACATTAGATATAGCGTTGCCTCTATCTTCAACACCTGATCAATGAGAATTTGCATCAGCTGGACTGCCACAGCGCCACTGCAGAGCCATCCTGGAAACACCAGGATGGGCCGCCAGCCTATGCCTGCTGCTTGCTGACCTGTCCAGTTCCCTCGTGAAGCTACACTAGGCGATGGCCATGGCGGGTTTGGAGTCAGGGACTGGTTCTTTGCTCATCATACTGGGCAGAGTGATTGTCTTCTGCTGTAGAAAAGAGAGCCTGAAATGTCCTCCCAACAACCTACAGGGTAAATGACCAGGGAGGTGACTTTTTAATCATGTAGGTCCCCGTAGACCACAGAGCCTTCATACACAAGGCACGAGACGCACAGGGGTTTAATGCAGGCCATTTTCTTTCAGTGACATGGCAAGCTGCAAACCTAAGCTGCTCCAAAGACATCAGAAGACGTGATAACATTAGTGCTGCTTATGGCCAGGCAGGTTTACGCTGGACTGTGACACGATACCATCACTGCATTGCACTTGTGACTGAAACTGATGGGATGCTGTAGTGTTACAGGTCTCAGGGGATCGGGTGTTTTCTACCCTTCAGAGCAGAGCTATCCATAGACGGGCGGCAATAAGGGAGGGAAGGGGCTAAAGTCGCCCGTCTCTTTCCAGGCTGAGGGTTGATGCGACAGCCAGGACATGAGAGATGCTGCTGCAGACAGGCTGGCAGCTTCCCGAGGCTCAGAAGGGAATTGCCACCACCACCTCCTCCAGCCTACAAAGCAGAAACCACAGCAGCAAATGCTCTCACCGCAGCTGTTGCTTGTGGTCTCCTGTGACAGATGGGGAAGTAGGAGGGTGACTGAGTGTGGCTTGGCCCCGAGGACTGGGCTACCGGGGGAGAGACGGTGCCCTTTGTTCTGGAAGCCAAAGAAGAGCCAGTCTGCTGTGATGGAGGGTGCTTTGTCTCGGAGGAATTGGAGAGGTTGGGGAAGACCGTGGAATCCAGGAGCCGACCGGGGATAAAGGAATTTTGATACGGCTGCGAAAGGAAGGCTGCAGCTTAGAACTGGGTCAATGCTTACTCAAAGACCTGCACGGAGACCTGTGCCAGGTGTCCGGGGCCAAGCTGGGGATGGAGACCAGGGCACCACCATCCGTTTGTGGTAGCAGAGCCCTAAAGTGCGGGTGCTAAAAGCAGACGTGGTGGGCAGGATGTGAAAGGCTGGACGCCTCTTCCTTGTCAGGATTCTCCTTTCCTGGAAGACGAAAAAGAGCCAACGCCCCAGCCTCTGCAGGGAACCTGCTTCAGTTGGAAATGCTCGGGTGGCTCATTATTATTATTATGAATAAAGTCTCGTGGGTGTTGTATGACATCCATCCAGCCCATGACAGAGGATGAGCCTTCCCCTGAGAAAGAAGTCCATGGGGAAACAGTCCGAAGAGGGACCACTCCCTTCTAAGAAGTCAAGCCAGAACCATGCTGGCAGCAAAGCCAAACTGGGTGCAGAAATGGGCGGCGCCTAGGTGGGTGGGGCTGTTCGGCCCTAGCAGCAGAGGTGAGTGTTACCATGGCACCCAATCAGCTTCATCCCTTCAAAGGAGGCTCTCATATAGTGAAAGGAGAACATTTCTGCACACAGGTCAACATTCTTCTGAGCTCCTCTCCATGGTCTCAAAGGTATTTGTGTTCTAAGCCCGGCCTCCGGCACCCCTCCCCCTAGGGTGACCACAGAGCAAAGGTGAAAAATCAGGACACTTTTTGGGGGAGAGGGGATGGGTATAGTTGCGTCTATACGACAAAGCCCCTAATATCAGGAGGTCTGGTCACCCTACCTCCCCCCGTCTGTCCAGTCCAGCTGCTCTTTATGGTCAGAACTCACCACGGGTGCAGTTCCACCATCAGTCGCAAAGGCAGAAGCTCTCTGTGCAGGCTGGACTCAAACTACAGCCCCCACGGGCGGAGTTACACGGGGGGGCCGATTATGACGCTGGAACTCGATAGCACAGCCGCAGCCTTCATGGCTGATCCTGCAATTAAATCGCGATCCGGCCAGCGCCCTGGGAATGTTCACAACATCCAAAATACTGCCGCTGCCCAGACGGCAGGGTGATTAATAGGTGGATGAGACGCCTCATCCGAGTTGGCTTCACAGTAGGTTCTAGAGGAGCATAGTAAGCTGTGAAAGAGCCAACGCCCTCATTTAGACACAAATAGCTTTGGCACTAAGCAAACACAGGAAGAAAAAAAACGCTGTGAAAAAGCAACCCTAAAAGGCTGATCCTCTCCCCAGCATGAGAGTGCCTGTTTAAGAGAAGATTCTGGGCCAGATTCTCAGCCGGCGTGAGTCAGTGGCGCTCCCTTGTAAATCAGTATAGGTCCATTGAGTTTCATGGACCGACACTGATTTCCACCAGCAAAGAATCTGGCTGATACGTCCCTAAAAAGGCACATTCAACGCCCATTCACACAATGAGCTCACGATGGGGTCAGTGGAATCTCATAGGACATGCCTCCTAAAGCTTGTTAAATGCCCCGGCTGCTTGGATTTCTTCCCCTCACGTCCAACGAGAAAATATTTTCGCACTTCGCAAACATGGCTGTGTTTCAGCAGGCGGTCGTCCTGCTTTGATGGTGAGCTAAGCACTTGAAAACCACGGAAAAGGCAAAATACACCATTCAGAATTTACATTGAGAATACACTGTTGTTGTTTTTTTTGTCCAAAACAAGCATTTTTGTTTGTTTTTTTCTAAATACACGCACCGTCTATAAAGTTAAACGTCATGCAAATGAAGAAAGTGCAGTTAGAAAGTCCCCGGGCAGCGCAAGTGCACTGCAGTAACTTCACATCAAAGAGTAAAGAAGTTGCAGTTGGAAAAAAGAGAACAGGAAATGGAAGGATTACCAAAAAATAACCAGATCACGCCTCTCATACCTCTACCAAAAATAGACGTCTTTCCAGCCCCTCCCGATGTCATGAGACTGACATAACGGTGGCGCCGGAAGAACCACCGGATGGTTGTTTATCGTTCAAGAAAATGCACAGGCTCAGAAATGACCCATGCCTGCTGTATTCCTGCCAGCCGGCTCAGATGTCCCTTGGAGATGACAACTCTCCTTGCAGAACCTGCAACTTCAGCCCAGAAATGCCTCACTGTCCAGTTGTCTCCATTCAAATGGGCACTTCTGACATTCAAACATTTCCATTGCAAATAGAAACGACCCCATTACCACAAGTCCCGTGTGTCTTAAGGGGCTCAACGTGGTTCACAGGAAAACCAGCTATGGAACTTTCCCCACCCTGCCCTCTTGGGGCCACCTTCACGATGACCATCGCTTTGTTACCAAGCCACTCCCACATGTAAACAAAACAAAAACAACCTCCCCAAATCCAACAACTCCCCAAAAATTCCCACCCCCCAAAACGGTCAATATTTCTAGTTATTACATAAAGATCCAGCAAATACTCAAAATCCATTTACGAAATACACGGTAGGTTTCTTTTTCCTATAAAAAGGCATGCGCTCAAAGTAGAAGAGATAGCTAAAGGCTTGTTTTGTTTCTTCGAAGCATAATCGGATTCCTCAAAGTTTTATTACTAAAGTTTACATTCGCCATCTTTGCTGGAAGGTGTCATGTGGTCGGTTTATTTTTCTCTCTCAAATGAACAGCTGGCTCTAGTTCCTTAAGCACCAGTGTTGTCAATACTGTGAATTTCCTGAAGCTGATTAATGGGGAAGGGTTTTGGTTCCTGGTTTTGGGTGGCCTTTAAAAAGGAAGAGAAAATTGAGTCTTGGAGGGCAGATTGAAAGAGCAATCTGGGGGCAAAGGGGTAGATTCAACACTAGATATTTGGAGCTGGTCTCTTAAATTGGCCGAGGGTAAAGAAGACCACCTGCAATGTATTGGATGATGGTGAAACAGTTCCTATCACTGAGTCAGGAATGGATAAATAATGCTTGCGGAAGAAGAGCCAGCTACCACACCCAACCTATAACCATGGCTATCACTGCCCTCTGCACAGAGAGCTGATCTCTCAACTTTAGTTGCACTTAGATACCTTATTGTGCCAATAAAGCTCTTGAAATTGTTTTCTTAATCTCTCACTCTCTTTTCCCAGCATCTCTAAGCCCCGCTCCAAAGGGAGAAGGGAGAAAGAAAGGAAAATGTTCGCATTTGACCAGCATGGTCAAAATTAGCGTGAGAATTCACTGGGCCTGCCCAGTCCAGTGAGTTCGCATGCTAATTGCCTGCTCAGCCGTTTCCAGGAAGAGAAACAAAGGATATATTTTACTCACCCGTCACAATAAAACCCTACTCGCCCTAGAGTAGCAGGTGAGTAGGATATTGAAAGAGTTTAAGCAGATGTCCTTCAGCTGTCGCTGCAAAGAAGAACTGGGAGGGCAGGAGCCCTGAGGAGGAGCGGTATGGGGAACATGCCAAGGTCAAAGGCATCAGACTAGGTACCTAGACACCAATAAGGCAAACCCCACTGGTGCTGAGAGGAGGTGGCCCCAGACCTTGGTCAGCCCAAAGTAGCTTGAAACTCCCCTCAGGCTCCACCCTTTTGCCTGTACCCGGAGACTCCCAGGCAGAGGTGAGGATGGAGGTGGAATAGGAGTCCTATCCCGTTCTATGAGAAACGCATTGAGCCATGAGGGAGGATGCGTGGGGATCTGTGAGTTCCGGAGAGGCGGCGGGTGCAGGCCTTCGCCTAAGACACGTTCTGTGTGTTGGCCACTTGTTTGTAATTGTCTTACCGCGGATGGTTTCATGCCGAAGCAGTGGGACCTGCGCACAGGCCCTGACAGAGCTTGCTGTGCCCGAAGGTGACAGTATGGGGAGAGAGAGAGAGAGAGAGAGAAGTCAATTTGAAGCTCGTTCGGGCCTGGTTGTCCTTTGTTTGTTTTTGGTGAGGAGCCAGGTGAGCAGGAGGAATTCCAGCAAGAGCCAAGCAGTAGACCCAGCAGCCAAGTTCCATAGGTGAAGGAGGGGGGTGGGTATTCCCTTCGCAGTGAGGCAGTGACAAACCTGGCCCGCGTGGCCAACGCTTCAGCTGGAAAACACAAGTCGGGGGGGGGGGGGGGGGGAGAAAGACTTTTCATTCCGTTTGTCCTTCAGAAGGGCTTCATGGGCATGTCTCTTGGGTCTGCCTCTGCCCCGCCCTTCCGCAGGAGCTAACCAGCGACCCCGCCCCAGATCAGACACCTCACCTGGGTTTGATTTTTCCTGCAGCCGCTCACTGGGCCACATTGACTCCGATTGTGCTAACGGAGAATCCAGCCCATGCACATGATCGGGAGGGGACGCAGTGCCTGCATCTCCCAGCAGAGAGAGGACATGAGACACTCGACTGCCGTGGGAGTTTGCAGGGGCCGGGCACCATCAGGATCAGGCCCTAAGGCTCGTGACTGGGTCATGCACAGAATTCAGACAGAATTTCATCCCATTTCCTAGATGGATGTTCCTGCCCCTCCCCCCAGATGCCCCCCCGCTCCAATGCAGAATGGATCTAGCAGGCAGAAGCCACAAGCGGGATGTGGAAGAAGAGCGTAGCAGGCTGGAGGGGGGGGAAAGCATGAGGCATTTAACAAGTATGCAGGGCCAGGCCAGAGAACGCTACCAAACCTGCCGTCAGGGGGAGACCCTGGGTCCCGCTACAGTGCGGCGGGGGGTGGAGTGTGAGCTGTGTGGTGCTGCCAGAGCTCTGTGCTCAGAACCAGAGTCCCCTGGGTAGTCAGGAAGTCTCCTCCCCACCCCCATCACAGCTCCGCCCAGGGCAGGGGCAAGTTCTCCACACCTCTCTTGATCAGCGCGGGCACGGCTAGCTTTTCCCCTAACTCCCTCCACAGACACACATTGCAGTTCTGGACCTATTCCTCTTCCCCGTCCCACCCCACTCCAGCCAGCATGGCACAGGAGTTGGGGGCAGATCACACACTGCACCTTGGACCTGGCTGGAGAACCCGACTGAATGGCTCAGCGCGGGGGCGGCGGGAAAATTTGCCTGAATTAGCCTCGACACTATCTAGGATAAAATTACACGGGTGTCAGTCCTAGTGCTTCAAGGTACGAGCTGATCCCCAGCTGGGGCCAGGACAATAGTGAACTTCCCTCCCCAAGGCAGAGCTCTGCACAGTTAGGTGCATTCTGTGAAGCCTATTAAGCTTCTCTAGAGCATAAGGCGTCAGCCACTGTTAGAGACAAGGACCCAGAATGACTCTTGGTCCATTCAGCTCCCTCAGTGGGCCCTCTATCCCTTCACCCCTACTCTCCTCTGCCATTCTAGTCTCCGTGCCTGACGAACAGGAGTCAATGGCAGGTGGAAAGGGCCGGCCACGGTTTCTCATTGGCTTACTGCGGTAGAACGGAAGGTGCTCCAGATCTGTGGAAGTGAACGATTTGCCATTTGCCATCCCGGCGGTGCCAGATGCGGGTCTCCTCAGACTGGGCAGTGCGTGGGATGCCACCTGCATCGACGTACTGTGTGATGCGGATATAGGCGATGCAGGCCGACTCATCTCCCATTAGGTGGATGTGCGGGTTCAGGATGGTGGTGTGCACTGGCTTGCTGTTCCTGGACCACACTGGACATGGGGGAAGGCAGGTGGAGTTACACAGAGGCAGGGGTCCTGTGTGCACCCAACTCTTCCTATGTGAGTGGGGAATCTCCTCTCTCCTTGACTAACCACCACAGGCTGTAGCCATACGGAAAGGGGAGATAATTTAGCAAGCAGACTTCCTACTGGAGCCATGCAGCATTGGATCATTTCTGCATCAACACAGCTTGGACGGGGAAGGGGTCGCTCTATAAAACATTTACTAACCAAAACACCACTCCATGAGCCAGCCGCTCCCCATTTCAAATTATTGAACAGATTTGCTTTGCTTCCCACCTAGATCTTTTGGAATGGCCAGGAGACAGCACTGAGAACATCCCATCTGAGGAGATCCAGAGATGCTCAAGCCCAGCCACCCAGCTCTTCCAAGCAACATCAAAGCATATCAACAACAGCCTATTGGGGGGAAAGAAGCTGCTTACAGTTTTCAAAGTAGAATCGATGGAACTCCAGTCCTTCCACCAGGTTCCCCAAGGCCTCGGGCTCAAAGGCGGTCATTCCAGGATCACACATCTTCCTGAGGAAGCCAAAGCCCAGAGAGAGGGGGGAGATTATCTCATTGTTTCAAACTGGAAGGTCTCCGAGAATGTTGCTACATAACAATACATTCATCCCAGCTCTGGGGTCTCTTCTGGAATACAGAGTACAACATCCCCTCTCTCTGTCCCAGCTCTCTCTCACTTCACCTAAGATTTGCTCCTGCTGAGAATGACAGTTCTCTGACAGCAGGAACAACGTACCCCACTGTTTGCTCAGCATGGCACAAGGGCTACACAGATGCATGCACCACCTAGCAACCTTTTAAAAGACATAGTTAAAGATCCCCAAATACTCCTCTGGATTATCTTCACATTTCCAGGATGGGAGTTAACGGCAGGAGCTGCTGGAATAAAGCACCAAGAACTTTAGGGAGAGACAAGCCTTGTTTCTCATAGTGTTAGCATCAGCGTCCCTGGCATAACTGTACAGAAAAGCAACAGGGCAATATGCCAGTCACAATTCATCCCTGTGCAATGGACATAAAATGTTACCTGGGAGATAGCTTGCAGCTGGCAGCAGAACCCAGCAGGGGGAAGTTCCATCATGTAGATGGCCCCAAGTCAGATCCATTTACTCAAATCCCCCTGAGCTGCAAAGGGTTCAGATAAAGGGGGCCAGATCTGCATTCTGAATTTGCAGAACAACAAGGTTTTGCAACACCCAAAGTACTTGGACTGAAGCTGCTAGGTGGCCCCTCCGTCTGGACCCGAGCTGCCTTTTGCACATCCCCCTTAATGAGGTATAGAAGGACTTAGCTGAAAAATCGTGTGCTCTGAGCTAATCCCAAGAATTCCGGGAGAGGATTACGGTACTCCATCACCACGTGGAATTGGGTCTTTGCGATACACGACCTAAGCTTTTGCAGAGCTAGACTAGGCTTCTGACCTCTTTTCTGAGATAAAATAAAACCCGAACAAACACCTAACCCTGCTCCAGACCAATAAACCCCTGCTCTTGGTCTCTGAGGCAGGAACTGAAATCTGTGTGAGCTCGGCAGTAGCTCTTAAATAGGCTTTGGACACAGGAGTTTGTAGGCAGGAATGTGAGTAGTAGTTGGTCAGCTAGTAGAAACTTGCTATGTTTCAAAGTACCACATGGCAATTCCAAGTAATAATGTGTGGAAATAACATTCGTCCCTCCATCATAAATCACAATTACAATTATTCATCCTGTAGCAATCCATAAAATGCACCCACCCATTATAATGAGGGGACAGCGGCATGGTCCAGTGGTTTGGGTTGAGTATGGGATGGGGAAATCAGATCTCCTGAATTCCAGGCCCAGCTCTGACGCTGACCCTCTGGAGTCTTGAACTAGTCCCTTACTTTTTCTGGGCCTCACCATCTTAGCAACCTGACATTTCCCACTGGATGGCCACACAAACTAACCTACCCCTTTTCACAGCCGAGAGCACTTGGCAGTGGTGTGGCTAACTGCACCCCACTTAGCTAGCGGAGCCAAACTCCCCCTCTCCCCATTATACAGTCAGAACCCACCCCAGATACACTCACGTGTAGGACTCAAAGTCTCCATTGCTTATTGCTTCGATCAGTTGCTCTGTTACTTTAATAATTTCTTGTTTTCGTACTGTTGGTTTAAAAAAAAAAAAAAAAAAGCACAAATGTTGAGGTCCCCCATGAGAAAAAGGGCATCCCCATTCACCCATTCGCTTGAGAAAACTTGTCGGGGGAGAGGGGCCCAGAGGATGGAAAGTGGGGATTCCTGCCTGGATGGATGGGAGCAGGAAAGGGCCTGGGAATGAGGAGATAGAAAAGTTCTAACCATAGCAAGTGAGGAAGCTCCTTCAGAATCAGGGACACTTACAGGAATTCTTCATGTTCATCTCTTTTTACAAAACTAAAGGGCTTTGTAAAACCTGTGGTATAAAATGGTGGCATGGAGTCTTGAGTGACCTCAGCATCACCATCTGGCCAGTACATCTCCATCAGTTTAACCATCTCTAAGCAACTGAACTTTGCTTGACTCTCCTAAGACTTTTTATCCTTCTCACTAGCCGGAATGCTGTGCTGCATACTCCTAGCCAAACACTAGGGTGGCTGGACCCAGCTAACAGATCCCTCATCTGGTGGCTGGGTGTCCATCCTGCTTGTGATCACAGCTGAGGCTTCAACTGGGATCATCCTAGTCTGTGGGTGGCACTTCTACCACGCGAGCCAAAAAACACCTCTCGCCTTTGCCCAAGCTAGGAGGAGGTGCACTAAACTAGCCTTGACTGGAGAAGAGGGTTCTCCTTGCATGTCTCAGAGGGAATTTCTGACCTCGGAATCCCACCTGCCTCCATTCCATTGCCCACAGAAAATGCCAGGAGAAAACCAGCAAATGTCACTCTCAGCAGGGGCCAGGCTGATGTTTTGCGTCTCCACGCCTGTTCCCAGCTGGATCTGGGTTAAGTCTAAGCCTGCTTGGGACGAGTCCAGTGATACTCGCTGGCACTTCCGAAGGAGTCTGTCATAACTACCCCCGGTGCTTATTAATGAAGTCCAAGTCAGATGCAGACCAGAAGTCTGTGTGACTCACAACGTAGAGTTAATTTTTTATTACGCCAAAGGGGGAAGAGAGAGAAAGTCATTAATAAAAATGAATATCTAGCTCTGGGCCTTTCTTGCATGTTCGGCCTGAAGTGTTTCCACCCTTTGAAATGTTAATTTCCATCCCCTGTCTTGCGAGTTGTTCCCTGTGAGGACGAATTTTCAATTAACTTTAATGTCAGGCCGGAGTCCACATCACTTGCTGTTGGGTTCACTTCATTGGGGAGACTTTACAAATTAGCGCTGAACAATTATTCCCCAGGCTATTCTTGGCAAGCTGGCCCTGACGGGCAGGAGGGAGGTATTTCCTCCCTAGGCTCTTCCCAAAGGCTGATTAACTTTTCAGACTGTCTCCAGCGGCAGTGTCAGAAGGGACAGGCACGAAAAAGAGCTAAGCAGGGCGGGCGGCACTTGCAGAGTGGGGCAAGGGCTTGCTGAGCTCAAGCACTTGCAAAGACTGGGAAGATCCCTGGGGAAGTGGCGGGATGGATTCTGGCAGGGTCAGACTAATGCAAGGGCTAATCATATATCGCCGCATAAAGAACGGCCTGTTGCGGTGACGTTCTGGAGTAAAACACTGTGCATTAGAGAGGGATCAAAACTGAGGCCAGTCATCTGCCTCTCCTACAGTGATCCCTTGGGCGCACAGATAAAACGGGCCAAATTTCTCCCTAGTGTAAGCCCAATATGTTCACAGAGACTTGGACATCCTAGTAATAACAACACCTAACTCTGATCTAGCGCTTTTCATCTTGAAGCACTTTCAGTATCGTTATCCCCATATTACAGATCGGAAAACTGAGGCACAACTGAGTTTATACTGTATGGACAGTAACTGTGTCTGACTTGGGAGGGTCCAGCGACAAGGGTAGGATCCCTGCACCTCTCTCCCTGACGCCTGGAGGCCACTCACTGTACCTTTGGTGTCTTCATCTTCAATGGTGGTGTTAGTGCTCTCCGAAGACTCCTGAGCAAAGAACAGAAAGGAGAGAGGAAAAGTAAGACCCACTCTACGCTGTTTGTTAGAAGGCTCCTGTGCGCTCAGCAATCCGTCACCCAGGTTCTACCCAACTCTGCAAACGGACCGAAACCAGGTAAAACACCAATTGACCGAGCCAGCCAGCAACCACCACTCTAGCTTAGTAACTGCAGTGCCCTCCCTGACTTTCAAACCTTGTAGCCAAAGAGAATGGGGCTGGTGTCTGTAGGAGTGGACATGCCATTCCTGCAACCATCTACAGTGACATACAAAGGGCGGATCTGGGGGGAGGGGTGTCAAAGGTTCCTAGGACTGCAGCCGGAAAGGGCAGGGAGAGGCTGTGCAGGGGTGAAAGACATCACGTTGACTGTACAATAGGAAAAGAAATGTACAAATTAACAAAGAGAGGTAACTGCGATGAGAGAGCGAGGGGACTGTGCAGGAGTGAGAGAGACCACATTGACTGCATAATAGGGAGAGAAATGGACAATAAAACAGAGAGGGCTTCCGAGACCCACATGGACTACCAAAGGCTGAGACAAACAGCCGAGCGAGACACAGATTTGCACGGAGAGGCGCCGGGGCCGCTGAACCCATCCACTCTCCAAATTTCCCAGGAAAGCCGACTCTGCTCGCTGAGCTAGAGGAACCGCTCCACTAGCTCATCCCAGTCAAGGCGTGTTTATGTATTACCCATAATCCACTCGAGTGGGCTGGCAAGGGCTGCCATTGCTGTATGACTCCCGTGATCGTACAGTTCCAGCAGAGCCAAGTAAGGTGTTTTTTCAAGGCTCTTTGGACTGATGCAGCCTGCAGATAGGAGGACTGGGAGAAATGCGTGATAACCTGCCAGCAGGAAGCAAAGTTGGCTTCCCGTTGGCCTTGGGCACCACCAACCCTGTTCAAGGGATCTGGGGGTGATACTGCTTTGAAAATGTTCCCTCCAACCCTAGTGTCCCCTGTTCCCTACCCCCCGTGTCAAAGGTAAGCTCCAAGAACGGGGTAGGCTGGCACATGTTGAGAGGCCCAGCATTAGCGGCATTGAGGAAGACGAAGGACACTCACCATTAACTGAACGCTGGAACTGGACTTTCTTTTCTGGAAAAACAAGGAGAAGAGATGGGACAGGGAGAGACACAGAGTGAGAAAGGCAGAGAGCAGCACATGGGAGATAGCAGCTCCTGAGCCACCCTTCACAGTCCTTTTGCAGGGGGGAATTTGGGGGGAAATTTGGCACTCCAAGTGAGAAACCGATGCCACTAGCTAAGGTGAAACACAGTGCAGCCAATGCTAAGCGAGCTCCCCAACACAGCTCCACCAATGCCTCTCAGCCCTGATCTGCCGCAACATCTGCTACTCCAATTCTGGATCCGTGCACAGCTCTGCCTGTGCAACTCCGTCCTAGCCTTGCGATTCCAAAACGGAGCCTCTCCAAGCAATGACAGCCAATCATGCCAAATTGTGCAGTGGTTTTGCAGTGTGGACAAACATCCACTAGGAACTAGCACGAGACCACCAAACTCATTCGACTTGTGACCATACAAGGATCTGAAACCAGGTGAGATGCTAGTATTCTAATCCTCTTCACCAACTACATTTCCCTCTACCCTGATCCTGCATGTGAGCAAGTGGTGGTTATAAACACTGGAATTGCTCAGTTGCAGGTCCTCTATGGAGTAATTTTTACACCCAGGAGTGTGCTACAAAGTGCTTCTTGAACAAACCAAGTCAAAGTGTCCTGGGTATAATTCTAGCACCTCGGCTATCTCCTTAAAACATAGCTGAGTTCCTCAAAAGAGAAGACCCTATGTATATACTTTGACTCCTACCCAAGAATGCTCTGGACTCCTTGGATAAAAAGACCCCTGGAACAGATTCCTGCCTATTACCCCAAAATACTGCTGGGCACCTCCTGCAGATTCTTGGCTTATGCACCCAGCTTCTTTTCACCTTCTGTTGGTTTGGAGACTTCTTCAAAGGGATGGGCAAGATGACCTACCACCTTTTCTCTATCTCTAACTTCTAGGATGTACACCAGGGTTATCAATTCTCTAAGAACACATTCCACTTTGACTTCCATGATGCTAGGAGATGGTGGTGAAGATGGCAGGAACTGGGAATTCCCACAACAGTAAAGGCCAATGCAAAACACATCAGCTGCCATGCCAAGATAACAGGCTTGGTGCCGGCACATTGAATTAGGCATAGACATACCTACCACTGCCAACGGGGCAGTGGGCAAAAGCTATGCACGCCCCTTGTGAGATAAAGCTCAGTATCCCATCACGATGGGCTGTGTTATAAAGAGCCATCCGAATCCACTAATGCTCATTACCACTTGTTCCTCCCTTTGCATCCTAAATGAGTGCAGCCATTTCATGAAGTTCCATCCTACATTAGCACAGCTACCACCACCCTGCTGGCATCACGGGATGTCCTAAATTAGTCTCCCGGCACATATATACATCCTCAAACACGACGTACGGCTAGATGGTGGCGACCGCTGTATTTAGGGTGAAACCTGATGAGAAAGCCTAGTGACAGCTACCTTGATTCAGGACATAGGAAGATGCCAGGAGGGTCAAGAGCTTTCACTAATTCAGTATGGGAGACGAGGCAGTCAGGGTAGAAATTTCAGACGGAACATGATGCAACACAAAGCAGTGACCGCATTAATTTAGGACGTACAGTAACAGGATGCAACATGGGGCAGTGACTTCATTAATTTAGGACGTAACAGGATGGGACATGGGGCAGTGATTGCATTCATTTACAATGTAACAGGATGTGACACCACACAGGGCAGTGAATGTATTGTATCCTCCAGGAAAAGGAGGACCAAAATGGCCTCCATGCATTGTGGGTAGGGAAATTCTGGCCGTGTGAAAACTGTTTCATGGGAAAAGAACCTCTGGGGGTCGCAGGTTTCCAAACCCACAGGGCTACACTACTGGATGTCTGCACTAGCAGGACAGGGGTAGCAGAAGTGGGAGGAAGCCTGCTTCCCAACTATTTGCAAGATAACGTGAGGACTGCATTAACTCAGGGATGAGACAGTAACTCAGGAATGGTGGATCTGCTGCCTGGGACCAGTGTGCTGTCATGGGACGGTGAACCCAATGGGTTCCCCCAAAGGAGGACACAACCCATCCAGCATCATACCAGACCACATGGCCTGAGTTACAGTGATGTCCCTCAAAGAGCCCATGGAGTTTTCAAGACACTGTCCCACTTTTGCAGCTAAGTTAAAACCACAAACCAAAGAAATGAACACATCCAGCACGTGCCCTGATTTCTGCAGATTGCCCACAGTCTGTCATGCCAGCTTCGCCCCGGGGCATGTCCGGCTGCCAGCCTGAACATTCCACTCCTCTGTGCCCCGGAGGCTGCTGGGATGGAAGCCATGCCCCTGGGTGAGAATGGTGCCTCCGGGCTGGCCAGGGCAGCAAGGTGTGGGGAATGGTGCTACTGAACGGTCCGTTGGGAAAGAACTAACACCTGTGTTGTTTCAGCAGGAGCTCTTCCTCTGCCCTGCCTCCCACGAAGGTAGCACTTCTCCCATCTTCCCATCAAGTTGTATCATGGCACGGGGGCAGGGAGGAGAGGCTTCCAGCCACCTACCCAGGCTGTCCCTCCTTGGTGCCCAGAAAACGCAGTCATGGCAATCCAAAATCATCCAGAACTCTGCTCCAGGTTCACACGCTCTCCAGAGCTGGGTGATAACAGGCCCATGAGACAAGGTTCAGAACTGAAGGATACAAACCTAAGTGACTGATGTGGTACTGGAAATCTAAACCCTTCCATCTTGATGGTTCCGAAGATTGTTTTCCTAACAATCTACCCACAGTTACCCTTGTGCTCTGCTGCATACCCAGGACCGTGTTCACCCTCGTGGCCACCACAAAACCAACACGAAGAACCTTTATCAAAGAGGTTTCCCACCAGCACAGCCACCTTTGTGAAGTGACACTACCCCTTAGGGTTGGCTAAGGCCCTTTGTTTTCAGTTTTTACTGATTTTTACCAAAACATTCCCAGCTTTTACAAACACCATTATTTTGTAATTATTTTACCACTTTTCACCCAAATTTTGGACCACTCAAGTACATGAAATTACTGATTACGTTAAGCAAATCCAATGCATTACATTATGCAGATGTGTTTATGTTAATAAAAAGTTAGTCTAAGGGTAAATGTGAGGCTGTCTGTTGAGTAAGGCAATGTAGTGGAAGATACACACACGCATGTTAATATGTGTATACACTGTTAAGATACAATTCATGAAATAAACCACAGCATTAAACTGCTTTTACTTTCAATACTCTTACTTTTCTCTATTTGTTGCTTTACATCTGTCCCCCCATCCCCCAATATTAACCCCGATATTTACCCAGAAAACGTTAACGTTATTTTTTGAACCAATTTTCATCTGTTTTCAAATGTTTGTAATAAACACCAATAAATTCCCAGCAATTTTTAAACAAACTAAAACCCAAACACGAAGGGCCTTGCCGATGGGCAATTCAACCGAGGAATGCCGCTATACAGGCTTCCCGGTCCATCGCTCTCTCTTTCCATAGCTTTAGAAAGCATCTTTCAGTTTGTCTTACCTGTCCCCCAGCCCCGTGCACTGCATCAGCAATGCCTGTGGGGGGGATTATTTCCCTTGGTGACCATCATAAGCTGCTGGCAGCTCTGGCAGTGCCAGGGTAGCAGAGGAGAGGCACAGGTTGACAGGTGCCCATGGTACGATCATGGCTCTCCTGGTCTGGGGCCTTACTGTGTCACATCCCACAAGCCTAGTGTGCAGGTGTTAACAGAGCGAGTTCTGACCTAGCGCACCCCTACATGTGTTGTGCGGGATCTTCACGTCATGAAGCAGCATCTTCACGTTGCAGCATTACCTCCTGATGGCAGCAGACCAAGACAAAATATTCCTTGGCTTGCAGGTGAATCTCAGGAGTTAGGGGGAGAGGCTGGCAGCAGAGGTAGAATGAGCTGAGCTCATATTCAGCATTTCTGTGGTTATAAATGCTATTAACATTGCAGGCTTGGCCTCCTCCAACAGTACCAGAGTGGTAGGAAGCAATTCATTGCCAGAGCTCCTTAGCCCATCCAGCAACTGGGTCACGGGGGGAGGAAGGCCGGCCTGATTCGCCGACCCTCCCAGAATCCCGGGGCCCTGCACAGCTCGTAAGTTAAGCCCCAGAGAGAGGAGGTCCCCATGGCGTCTGATCCCAAGCCCTGGTGAAATCAGTGGAAAGACTCCCAATGACTTCAAGAGATTTTGGACCCCCCTCCCACCCCACCCCGCGTGACTGACCATCATATGGGGAGAGAATGGACCCTTGTGACGGATGGGCCTCTTTGGTTGCCCTGCCACAGCCTGTTCTGAGCCTGCAGGCCCGGGCATCAGGCAGAGAGACCTTCCCATAGATCACACGCCCTCCTCTGGGGAGGAAGGATGACGAAGCGCCTCCCCCTCCACCCCCCCGACACACACCAGAGGCCATTAGAACAGGTGATTAATGGAGAGAGCTGATTTCCACTGGGCTCTCACCCCAGGAGACTGCCCGGCTCTGGATGCGGGATTGAGCTCGGTAGGTACCACAAGCACATGGGGCCCCGTCGCTCACCCCGACGTGGCAGAAGAAGCAAAGACCTGGATGGTCCATACTCTTTTTAAGGTAAAATGGGATTTGTTCTTATTATTTCTAACTCTTGAATTTGGGGCTGGAGGGGGAGGGGGTGGGCGGGCTCACCCTGCTGCCCCCTTCTCCCCGCCCCGCCGGCCCAGTGCCACCCGCTGGGGAAGCGAGAGGAATGGGATTGGCAGGCTGTGAAACTCTCTGCAGAGAGCCGGCTCATGCTGCTCATTTATTCATTTGAATCCAGGCAGCTCCTCCCAGGTCCTTGCGCTCAGCCTCCCTTGGGTGACCCTGAATTTGCATGGGCTCTCCTGCTAACGAGCGGGGGAGATTCTGGGATGCCTCCGCTTTGAATTACTGCTGCTCGCCTGAACCCTCAGTTCTCCCTCCCAGGCAGAAATTGCAAGCCTGGCTTTCCCCTTCCCCTCTTCCTTTCCTGATCCCTTCTCTCCCCCGCCCACCCATTCGACTCCTCTCCTTTCCCCATCCCTCCTGCCCTCAGGGGGAGAGAGTGGGGGGCGTGGGGAGAGGGCTGCAGGCAGCCGAGCAGCAGTAAAATCCTCAGGAGGAGGTTAATTTCTGCGTTCTCCTCACGTCACCTTCCTGCTGGGGTGTCGGAGGAGTGCATTATTCAAACATGAGCCTGTGCATCCATCCTTTCTGCTCTCCCATCTGCAAGCTGCCAAGCTTTTCCCTAGAGAGCTTTGCACATTTGACAGTTTTTCCCCTTTCGCTCTTGTTGCAGCTCTGCTGACTGATAGCGGCGACTGCGGGGGACGGGGGAGGAAGGGCCTAAGGACAAGGGGATGGTGGCCAAGGAGCCGGGCCAGCAATGCATGGCTACCAACTTCACTGTCAAACAGAGGAAGGCCACGGCGGGACCCTCAGCAGAGCCGAATCCACTGCAGCCCCAAGGAGTGGCCCCCGGGGCGCTGTACCGGCCGGGAGGGAGCGCTTACCTTCACGCCGTCATTCTTCTTGTTGCCTCCGCTTTTCCCTCCTGCGGAGACAAGGTAGGAGGTTAGCAGGGCCAGGCAAGGCGCCAAGGCCAACAGAGTGAGGATCAGCAGCATAAGGGAGGATGGAGTCAAACAAAAGGGGTGGGGAGGGGGTCAGGAGTCCTTCCAGATTGGTGCGCTCCAGACCCAGAGCAGAACAGCCCCAGGTGCAGCCTCTCTCCACAGCCCCTTGAGCTGCGAGGTGAACACCTCAACTCCAGCCCTTCCTTCTCCTGCACAGAGACAGAGGCCCTGGCCACTTCTCTCGACGTCAAGCCAGCTCCGTGGAGGAACCTGAGCAACAGGCAGTGTTGGAAACACCAGAGGCCTGGGCAGAGGGAGAGGTCTCTGGGCAGATTTCTTCCTGCCGGGACTCAAGGGTCATGCAGCAGTGTGGCCAGTGAGGATCCAGTGTCCTCCACAGCAGAGCATGAGCCTCAGTCCAGCCCCAGGGCTTCCCTTCCTGCCTTTGTCTTGGGGAGCTGAGTATGAAGCTAGAAGCAGTGCGCCGTGGCACTGCCTGCCTGCCTCTCTCTCTAATTTTAGCCCCATGCTGCCGGGGTCATGTGCTACGATTCCCTCGACCTGACAGCTGCAGCCCACATTTTGACGATGATGAAAAGCAGACGGCCTCCCTTGAGCCCACCTATCACCGCAGGCCCCATCCCCCAGGGCCGCTCCGGCGCTCTCCCAGCTCACTGCCCTTGGCAAACAGATAATGAACTTCCAGCAGCCGCCTGCCCACGCGGTAGGGTCAGATGAGCGTGCTGGGGGGATGAGACCACGGTGAATTCCTGGGCAGAATGCAGGAAGGGAAGTGACTATGGGGTGTAGCTTTGAACATCCTGGCCTTAAATGCTCAAGGTCAGGTCCTTTGCCCTTAGTAGGGCTTGACAAAATATCCCCCCTGGATGTTTAACTCTTCCAACCCTGCCACGTACCCCCACAACTGCCCACATGTCAGCAAAACCTAACCACCCCCACGACAAATGCCTGGGGCTGATCTGCACCGCCAGCCACTGAACAATCCCAATGCCCCTTGCAGGCCCCAGCGGTCCTCGACCTGACCTCGCTCCCAGCTCACCTCCTGCTCCCTCGTACCCACCTGACAAGCACTCTGCTCTGACTGGCTGCAGCTATTTCACAAGCTCCCTGGGCTAACCATCCTCTGTCCAGCTCCGGAGACTTCCCATAAGGCCCTGCCCCACGCAAGCGTATCACCCTCCATCCTCTTTCAATCCCACCTGAACAGTGTCCTGTCCTGACCCCCATCGCGCCACCTGTTCAGAGAATCCCAGATGCCCAGGCCAGAAGGGACCGTTGTGATCATCTGCTCTGACCTCCGGTACAACCCAGGCCAGAGACCTGCCCCAGAATAGACACTGGCTCCCTCCATCCCTTAGCTGAACCGCTCACAGTTCCTCCGCCCTAGACCAGCATCCGGATTCCTCCTCCCCTCCCCCACAAGTTCCCCAGCTCTGCTCCCATGTGCACAATCCCTTTGGCGCCTGCACACCCTCCATCCTCCCTGCCTCTCCCCACCCAGAGGAACTGGCACCCAGCTAACCCCCTCCCAGGCTTGAGACGTTCTGGCCCCGATTCACCCTTTGCCCTGCACCTTGTGTCACATTTACACCAGGGCAGAGTGTACTGGTGCAAACAATGGTGCAAGGCGTAGGGAGCTGGAGCCTCAGGCCCTCGGACAGGAGGTGTGGCAAGCAGCTGGAGCGGGGGCACATTTTGTTAGGACTTTAGAAAAGAAAGTTAAAATTCCCCCTGCCCACTCCCAGCAGCTGCTGAGGCTGGGGGTCAGCATTATGCCCCAGGGGCTTTCACAGCCCACATCATGTTCCTACAACTGGGGGGG